ATCCTAGATCTAAATAAACCCTTTATTATTATTTTTTTTTACTTTTTTATATCTAAATAAACCCTGGCATAAACATTAATCCAAATTAAATCTACCTCATGTAAAATAAAATCCTACCTTAAGAGGTTGGGGTTTGTGGCACATTTTTCTTGTGCAAACATATGAGAGATATAAAGGAGGAGAAGAGTACACTTCCGGACTCCAATGACTAGCCGACTATTAGAGAAATAAATATTAAAAAAAAAGATGTCACTGCTTTAGGCCGCGATATGCTGCCATGTCGGAGCATTGGCGGAACTTAGGCCGATGACAATATCTTTTAATTTTTTTAACAAATGCTATTCTATTTAAATGTTAAAAAAATCAATTTCCAAAATTTCACCACATGGAACTAAACCTTGCATTGCAAATATGGGACAAATGCCCTAATGTCCTTCCTAATCCCTCTATCTTGCTTTGCCATGTGAAGCCCTTTAAATGGAGAGATTATTATGTGCGAAGTTCAGATACAGAGAACCGTTCGGTTTTGTGACTGTAAACAGTAAAAACGCATTTAATGTTCAGCATTGCGCTTTTGCTGTTCACGTTACAAAACCGAACGGTTCTCTGTATCCGAACTCCGCACGTAATAATCTTTCCTTTAAATGGGTCAAATTTATGTTAAGCCAAAACTTGCTTACTTACAGGCTAGCTGGACACCCCAAAAAAATTAGTTAATATGCCACCATGAATTTTGTGGTAGTCTCCATAAGTCTGCTTGAAAACCAGCATAGTTAACTTAGCAGCAACCCGCTAAGCTATTAGACAGATGATCTCACTTCCAAGCTGTAGCCTAGGCCAGATATTGCACGCTTTTATGAACTCAAAACAACCATTGGGTTGATCGGGACTTGCCTGCATAAAAATTTGGTTTGATTGGTGTTTGAAGGGTAGACAGGTCAATTTATTGATATAATAACTCACGGTGGATACAAGAGAGTTATTGACCATTATCTCTCTCATAGGAATTTTTATTAAGTCCGGTGTCCTGACGTAGCTCTACGTTCGAACGCCAGTAAAATGGTGCCATGTGTTCGTGCGGCCCGACAACCCAACCCGGACCGGACCCGAGATTGCTATGTATTGGCTGATTTGTGCAGACTGGGGTATTTCTAGGTATTGCTCGATATTGCTCGGTAATAACGAGAAATATCATTATGTCAAGACTAATACCTAGCAATACCGAGCAATACCCCGGTTTTGCTAGGTATTGCTCTGTATTGCTCGGTATTGGTCTTGACAGAGCGGTATTTCTCGTTATTGTCAAACAATACCTAGCAATACCGAGCAATACCCGAACATAGCAATATCGGGTTCCGGTCCGGGTCGGGTCGTCGGGCCGCGCGGTAAAGAGTAAGAGCACGTAGAGACATATTATTGGGCTCCGGATGTAGAGCTACGTCTGGTGTACAGACCTAATAATTGTTCCTCTCATGGGCACTGTCATGGACTTCTTTACATACCATAACTTCAATTAAATTTGATATTTGGTCTATTTGGAATGGCTAGATTTTTATGAAAGTGATTATGAAGTTGTTACGGAAGAAATAACTTTTTACAAAAGCTGTTGCAGAAAATAATTTTTTTGAGCAAAAAGTTTCTGAAAGTAGCAAAACAAAACAATAGTGACAAAACATAAACTATAATTGTGATCTAAAAACAAAATAGTAAGAAAATGATCTCAAATGAAATCATTATCTAAGGGTCTATTTGGTACATCTACAATTTTTTTAAAGTTGATTGCCAAGTTAATATGAGGAAAACAATTTAGTTACTCTGGATTATATAAATAGGATAGAAATTTTAAAAAAATAATGATAAAACGACGAAAAAATTATTCCAAATAAATCCTACCTCAATACTATTTGGAAACAATTTAGGCTTCGTTTTGGACGGCTTTCTTACTACTTCTTAAAACATCTTTCTAGTACAAAAAATTAAATATTTATTCTAAAAAATTATTTTACGAAGTAGTAAAAAAGTCATCTCAAATAAAATCTTACTTGAATGAGCGTTTCCATAAGAAAAGTTGAACCAGCTTTTTCTGCCAGCAATGTCGAACAATTAATTATTAACTTCTATAATTAATATTAAAAAAGCATCATCCCTTATTCAAGCAATTTGAGAAAAAGCTGCAAATGGTTGCTCTCCACTATGTGGCTTTATAAAATCCATTATTGACTCATTCCCGAATTGGCCGAGATGCAGTCATTTTGTGTGCTGTGGCTGCAGCTATACGGTTTTTTTTTTTAGTGTAACGGGTATCTATCCCCTGTAACCTCTAAAAGTGTGAATTATTACGTCCGATCATCGGACATCCGGACATTCAATACAGATGCGCCATGTCACCCAAATACACTGGGGCCCGGTGTATTTGAGTGACGTAGCGCGTCTGGATTGGTATCCGAACGAATCCGGACACTGGACATAATAATTTGCCCTCTAAAAGAGGCTCATGATGGCGTAATTATCCCTCGGTGGGCCTATCAGCAACCTGAGAGAACAGCTGAGGCAGAAGACACCAAGAAAGAAACAGAAAAAGGAAATTGTATTTCTATATTGAAGCGAACTACAGGGACGGTATTTAATACCGTAAACATGGCATTTGAGTAATAAAGTAAATACAAGAGGTTTAATTATGCTAATACAACCAACCCCACGGATGCAGGACCACACATTTATTTTCTCTATACTTAAAGTGGGCCTACCACCAACCTTTTGAATGCAATATATTTTTGGATGTGTATTTGAAAGTGTTCTCTAATTTATTGTTAGTGTAATTAGAATTCATCCATTTTGAGTCAATTGTAAAAATGCAAATTAGATAAAAGTGATGTCGACTGATGACCTCCATCGCTCACCACCAACGTCATCGCTTGTCGTCGTCCACTAATGCTCATCACCATATATAGGCCATCACCATTCACCAATCATCGTCGCCGACCGCCATCATAGTCGGCCATTTCTTTCTGCCAGACCTTACCATCGACCACCTCCGCACTATTTATTAATTCAAAACAAGTACTATTTTATTTTACATTCTCTTACTTCAATTAAACAAAATAAAATAAAATAAAATCATGTATTTGTAATGTACTCAATCAAACAACTAAAAACTATTTTCAATACATTATTTTTTTTATAATATATTCTTTTTATTTTACAGTCTTTTTTTATCAGACTAAACAATCCCTAAATATTGAAGCGCAATAAAAGAAAAGAAAAATAATAATAATTGTGACATCCACTAATTGTCTCTTTCCACCAGCTACTTGATAGTTGAGCATTTGAAAGCAAGCTAATTAGCTCAGTCATTATCGATCTCACACTATTCTTTGCAAATTAGCAATGGAATCTAATGAATCGGGTAGAAATCTAATGATGAACAAAAATCGGATGGAAGTTTGATTATGTTCAGTAGTCGGGTATAAATCTTGCATCAGTTGGCAGTCTGGCAGAAGTCCAACGTCGATTGGTGACCATGTGGAAGTCCAATGTCGATTGGCGGCCGGGCAGAAGTCCGGCGTCGGTTGGCGGTCGGGCGGAAGTCCGTTGACAGTCATTAGCCGGGTGGAAGTCCGTCAATGATCGAGGAGGAGTTGGGTGGTAAGATAACTCTCTTTTTTCTCTTCCTTGCTTTGGTCGCCTTTTCATGATAAATGAGAGGCCTATTTATAATTTTTTTAGAGTGGTATGGCTAGTAAATAAGAGATAGATCAAAGGTAATTTGGGAGTGGTTTGAACGGACGACCGATGTTAATCCCTTAATCATGGATGGATTAATAGGCATTTAAATGTCTTATGATATCAGAATTTGGAAATCTTGGGCTCGTTGGATGCAACTCATCGAGCCACTCGATTCGATAAGCACGTCATATTTGGAAATCATTTGGTCATCCAATTTATGGTTTGAACTATGATCCCTTGGAACACCATCACCCAACTACGATCCTTCTGACCACTGTCGTCCGACTACTGTCATTCCGACCTCCATCACCTGCCAATTACGGTCCTTTTGACCAGCATTGCCCTACTACAGTCATCTGATTTTCATCGTCGACCAACTACAATCCCTTCAACCACAATCACCCGAGTATGATCGTTTCAACCTTCATCGCTTATTGACTATAGTCTTTTTTACCATCATCCTCCGACTACAACCATACCAATGAAATGAACAGGACAATACTCTCTTGAGAATAGCTCTCATGACAATGGGTTCTTCTAACCCCAACCATGTAAAATGTTTTATATAATGTATATTAGCTATATTCAGCCAATGCCATCCCCTTATGAAGGACATTATTTGTAATAAACCATCAACATTAGTAGAATTATTTCAACTAGGCTAGACCTCGTGATTTTTTCCTATTCTCATGGGATTCCACATAGAAAATTTGGTCTCTTCTGAACACTACACCCTTCTCTCTTATTTATCTGTGTGCATCTTCATACAAACTAGAACGCTAAATTCTCTCTCTAAAATTGAAATTTTTTCAGGATACAACAATATATATACATTTTGAACAAACTACTGTCATTCAAGACCATTAGACCAGCTTGATGAAAAAGCTCTATGTTAGATCACTAAAGTTTTGTTTGAGACAATTTTTTATCATTATTACTATTTTTTGCTATATTCAAAAAATATTTATACTAAAAATTTTAAGTCTTAACTCATAATTTAAATCAAAATCTATGAATTTAATTTAAAATCAATTCAAAATTTGACCGAGTTTCCAATACATACATTTATAATAATTCATCATAAACAAATGAATACAAATAAACTTGTCAAAATAATCATCGGGCTCTGTTTTTTATGTTGGTCTTCCTGATTTTTTATTCATTTGGCATTCGCATTAATGATTACAACTTTTCGGATATTTCAATTTCCCTGATCAAGTATCGGGAAGCGTTCTACCAAATTTGAGACAATTGTCGAGCAGAGAAAGGCCTTTTATTTGTCGTTCATTTTTCATCTTTTCCTCATTTCTTCTCTGTTTCCTCTTTCAGGCCCACACTTACATTATAATTCTCAGAGAAAACTGCAAACTTGCTTGCCTTCTCTGTTTGAGTTCCTGTAAAAAACAATGGTGAAAGCTGGCAAATGGTTCAGGAACTTCTTGACCGGAAAAAAAGAGAAAAGCCAAGAAAAGGAGATTGAAAAAAGTGTATGGCTGCAGCTTCCACCGCCACCGCCACCGCCACCGACAACCCCAAAAGAGAAGATGAGGAGAAATTTCAACCAGGAAATGGAGAAATACAATCCAAAAGAACAATTTACGTTCTTCTTTGTGCCGGAGTTCGATCAGAGGCGGTATGGCGTGGCTGTGGCTTCAGCCACTGAAGCTGCTGTTTATCTTGCAAAAGCAGCGAGAAGGAAATCCAGGTTTGCTCCAATTGAAGAAATTGCTGCAATCACAATACAGTCTTCATTCAGATCTTACTTGGTATGAACTACTATGAATATGATTCAGCTATATGATCCAAATCTGCATTTTGTATTAAAAAAAACAAATCTTTATTTATGAATTATGGTTCAGTGTATTCAAGAATTTCAAGTTAGTAATTACAGGCCAGAAAAGCTCTACGGGCATTGAAGGCACTGGTGAAGTTGCAGGCGGTGGTGAGGGGTTTCCTGGTGAGGAAGCAAGCTGCGGCTACTCTTCGAAGCATGCAAGCTCTGCTGGCAGCACAAGCCAGAGCTCAAGCTCAAAGAGTTCAAATAATGGAAGTTGTTCATGAATTGCCATTGAAGGAAAGCAGGAAGATGATGAGCCAGTTTAAATTACAGCAGTTGCAGGTGATTCTCAACGTCTTCTTCTTTCATTAACCCAAATTTCAATTAAAACCAAGATTATTGTTTGTAATTCAGAAATCATACTTGGAAGATATGGAGAAGAATATGGAAATATACATAGAACAATCAAAAGGCAGCTCAAAGAGCAGGAAGAGCAATCAAATTGCACACAGTGATAACTTCAGCTACCTGAAGGCCTCTTCAGGTCCTTCAGTCTTAAATGAGATGAGCAGAAGGGCGCAAAGCGCTCGCTTCGATGAGTTCTCCTCCTTCACTGCATCGAAGAATAGCTATCAGTTCTCATCAGGAGCTTCTAACAGGCCTGGAAGAATGAGCTTTTCCGAGGAACTTCTAATGCAAGAGAAGCCTTACCTGATTTCCCCTGAATCACCACCGCAACCAAGCTACATGGCCCAGACTGAATCTTGGAGAGCCAAAGCAACAACACAGAGCGTGCCAAGGAGAATTCCTGAATCTTTTGATCAAAAACTATCGAGTAAACAAAGAGAATTTGAAGGAAGGAGCTTTGGCAGAGGCGCAGCAAGCAAATTCCATGAAAGATGTTCTTGATTGGACTGAGTTAATTGACTAATATGGGCTAAGCCTAGCAGTTTGATTGCAGAAGGATTTCAACCATTCTTGTTCAGATTAAACATTTATTGGTTGCTGTAGTTAACGCTGTAAGATTTGATTCAAAGATGATTAATAAAGATTTTGATTTTACTGCACGGTAGCGAAGATAGCTAGAGCTGTAAACAAGCAGATTGGCAACACCTAACTCGAATTCATAGCAGCTTAGTTATAATTACCTCATAGCTTCTCAAAATACTTTTTTTGATACTAATTTCTTATTTATATAGCATCATAATATTTAAATAAAATTAAAAATATCATAAAAACGGTAACTTATATAAAGTAAACTACATATTTTATGCATATATTTTGTAGCAATTTGCTGTAGTTAACGCCATAAGTTTTGATTCAATGATGATTAATAAAGATTTTTATTTTACTGCGCGGAGCTATTGAGCGAAGATAGCTAGAGCTGTGGACAAGCAGATTGGCAACACCCAACTCGAATTCATAGCAGCTTAGTTATAATTACCTCATAGCTTCTCAAAATACTTTTTTTGATACTAATTTCTTATTTATATAGCATCCTAATATTTAAATAAAATTAAAAATATAAAAAAAGCAGTAACTTATATAAAGTAAACTACATATTTTTTGCATATATTTTGTAGCAATTTAGACATTAGGGTGTTATACATATAAATATAATGATTTAGTAGTTTTTTAGTACAATTGTTTTTAACACTGTTTTAGAAAGCAATAAAAAAATTATCAAACAGAATCTAAGATAGAGCCAGAGAATGAGTAGATAGAGAATACATAATGAAGAGACACGAAGCTTTTAGAAACTTTGAGAGTTGAAACAAACTCAACCTTTAATTCTTAACTTGTCAAAATTGAGAGTTCCCAACTTCAACGAAGGCCCCCTTCATGACGAGTTAAGCTTCGTTTGGAACAGCTTCTTTGCTGCTTTCTAAAACAACTTTATAATACAAAAAAATTATTTTATAAAGTAGCAAAAAAGCTGTACCAAACGAAGCCTTAATCCTTGAAAGATTTTTATACAAAATTGTGCGACTTTTTATAGAGGTCAAAGAAGATTTCATGTTGGCAACCTCAATCAATAAGTCTTCTACTTTCTTCCACTTCCTCTAGTCAAATTGACGGCGACTTTCTCTTGTTAGTTGGTAATTTTATCAAAAAAGCTGGTGACTTCATATAGCAAGTCAGCAACTTCAGCCATCAAATTGGTAATTACATTTAGAAATAGACTCAGTTAATTGCCACTTATACTCCTATGTACTTTAGGCTACACACCTGATGTATGTTGCTGTATTTTCCTTTTTGGTTATGTAGAACTTAAAAATAGTTTTTCCCAATAAAATATCGAAGCTTCTTATTCTAAATTCTCTTATTGGCTCTCTATTTCTTGCTCTATTAATTATCTTTGTTGGAGCTAGGAGATAAGGAAGTCATTGGAATGGAGTTAACAGATGAACACAAGTCACCTTGTCATGTTGGTTGAGAGCTTATGCTTCCAGCTAAGAGGTCTTAAGTTCGAGTCTTTGTGCATATGTTGTGTGTGTGAGTTTGTCTTAAATAGCCTAAATGTCAAAAAAAAAAAAAAAAAAAAAAAGAGTTAACGGATGAAACAGGATTGTTAGTTGTTGGAAGAGGCAGTTGGGGTTTGGTAGCTGAAGTTCCAGTTCTCTATTTTCGTGCTACATTTCACTATAGAAAGTGACATTGGGTAGTTGTTTCATTCGATACTAGCTGCAGATGGCCCCCTTTCCTTTGTACCCATCGAAAATGAATTTGTAATTAAACCCACCAAGCACTCATCATCACCCTTTGAACAATATGCCACATACTTAACTTATTTTTATGGGGGAATTTTTATATATTCGGAAAGCGTTTCTAAAACTCGCTCTATGTGACATCCGTCAAAGAAGAATGTCTAGCTTAACCTTAAAATCAGTGTAATGAGGAATGTACATCTGTTGTCGCTGGCGTCTGTAATTCTTGCCCTGATGTCACTTCATGTCAAATTCTGATAAGTCTCTAAATTGATTAGGTAATAATGTACCATCATCTTTAGAGTTCGAAATTTACAAAACAAAATGGGTGGTCCGTCTCACATTATGCTCAGGAATGTGACCATGATAAGTAGTCGATTGTCGACCTCCTTTTTTTGACATTGGTTATTTGCACGTGTTATCACTTACATTTGATAGTTTGATCCACCTCCTTACATGTCACATTGCTGTGTTTGATGAATGGTCAAATTGTGTATTTTACCTTGGATAGTCGTCGGCCTTATCAATTATTCATTTCGATTACATATCCTCATTTTTGTTTTAAAATACATGTGATCGTGTCGACGGAGATTTGACGCATATTTTATGTATATTCGAGCCTCTATCGTAATTGCTTGTTCAATTCATAAAATCTTTCAATCAAGACCTCATTTTGCAAAGCGGATCAAACTGATGTATTCGACTCGTCAAGACGAATCAAATGATTCAATTCGTGCTCAAATCGTATATCATTTGATGCATGGCGAGGAGAGAAAATGGTAAGCATCATTTTCCTTAATAAATCTAATAATAAAAATAGAATGAAATCTAGTAATAAAAAACTTTGAATAACTAAACACAAAATAAAGGGTATACATACATGTATAATAGATAAAAATATCATAAATCAATTTCAAATAAAAATATAAAATATAGAATTAATAAATACATTTTTTTATTAAATTAAAAATTAAAAAATGTTATTTCACTCAAATTATTATTATTATTATTATTATTATTATTATTATTATTTTGAGCTTGAATACAAACTCATTTTGACCTCATTTTTTCATCCTCCTAAATTAGGAAATTCCTAGATCTAATGGTTGACATTCATCAATGATATTACTTAATTTCCTCCCTTAGATATAGGGCTTCAAGAAGAGATGCAATGTGAGTCATTGGATCGAGGGCTTATTTGATTTCTGAAAGAGGGCTGGTTCACGTCTTAGCCGTGATTTTTCATGGCTAGCGGTCGGTTCACTGCGAGATTCACGATTTCACGTGAAAGAGCATCCAGCCGCAGGTCTTTGCGGCACGTCTCCCTCAGCTCTCTCTCTCTCGATCTCTCTCTCTCTCTCACGAAAGGTTTTCTTCCTACCCACAGATAGGAGGCCACCTCTCTCCTCCATACAAGAGAAGACGAACAATAGCAGCCCTCCATGGAAGCTCCCATCCAACTTCCAACTGATCAGACCAGCTCATGCCGCCGGCTTCCTTCACTCTACGTACAGCAGCAGCCTTTCAGGCAGTCGGCCGTCCGGCCACCAGCTCCGTCCGGCCTCAAAATCCCCAATCTGAAGTTGCAACACACGACTCCACCTCCTAGCCGCCGGCATACCACCAGCCCGAGCTAATCCGCCTCACACTCTCCCTGACAACTCAAGTAGCTGAATCCCTTTCGTGTCTTCCATGTTCGGCTGTGCAGTTGGGGCAAAGCAATGCTAGTGGAGCTGTTGTTGTTCGTCCCTTTAGAAGAGGGGGAGTTCTGTCGTCTACAACAGTGCGAGCTAGAAAAAAAGAAGACGAGAAAGGAGACCTCGTTACGAGGATGTTGACGGAGGAGAAGATGAACACATGGATGCTTTAGGATCAGATTCCCATCGAGTCATCAAGATCCCTGGGACCCTAGGGAGACGAGAAGGAAAGAAATATCCATTGGATATTTTGTCTTTTCTGGGTGGACTGCTCAGTGGGCACAGTAAATAGGTATTTGTCATTACTTATAAGCCATTGCTTAAATGCCACTACAAAGATTATTGTTTTGTGTAAACAAACAAAAAAGAATGAATTTCTTATGAGATTTACATGATTGTGCTTGCCCGATGCAGACAAACCTTTTTTTAAAACCTCTTATTACATATCTCATTAAAGTTTATATTCTGTCGATAGACGTAAATAGCTTGTAAGTCTTATGTAGTGTCATGATTGCACTATTTATCCAATTTTACTGTTCCAACTCAACCAAAGGTTCCTTCTAGAATATGATGGTCTGGGCAAGACAAATCTATCAAATACATTTATTAATAACAATGTGTGTAAGCATTTTTTTTATGAAGATTCATCTCCTTTTTAAGTAAAATTGCTACATACTACATTAATTTTATTAATTACGGCCTATCTTTCTATTTAATCTCATATCAGTAAAAAAATGCCAAGATATTTATTAATTCATGTTGTTGTATTTCGTATCGTAATGTGATATTTTGTTCTACTTCGCATTCAATGCTAATTTCATCATATCAAAAGAAGTTATTTTACACTTTTTTAAAAATATATCGATTAATATATTTTGATCGTAATGTGTGTATTTATATATCAATGGAAAATATACTTCTCTAAACTCATACAAAAACATACACTTAAAAGATATGCTCTTAGGGCCTCCAACATTCATTAGATCTAAAGAAAATATATGAACATTAATTTGGAATTTGATATGTGATCGAATTCCATGGTAATTAAAAAAAAAGCTCTAATTAGTTAATTTGATTAAAATAAATATCATTCATGACAAAATTCATATATATTCAAATTTGTTAAAGATCAAAGATACTTGCAAATTAATTAATTCTCCTTGTCGATATAAATTCATATATTAATTTCTATTTGATTTAGATTTTACATAATTTACGTTGTTGTTTATCCTAATTACTATGCCTAAATTTATAATCATTAATATAATATGAATACACGATAAATCAATCTTAGGATGTAATATTGGTGATCATATAAATTTCAAAGTAAAGTATATTTTATCGCCTGCCATAGATGTGATATTTGATATAAAAGTTTGTGATTATGTCGAATAACTCAATACATTTTTTGTTTTAGTATTAAGCATACACGTGCCAGAAATGAATAGTTATGTTGAAATGTTACTGACGTTAGAGGAGTAATAGAGTTTGAACATTTGACCTCTCTTTTTTTTCATCATTCCTAGA